TCAGGAAGTCATCTAGTCCAATCCCCTGCTCAAAGCAGGACTAACACCAACTAAATCATCCCAGTCAGGGCTTTTGTCAATCCGGACCTTAAAAACCTCTACGGAAGGAGATTCCACCACCTCCCTAGCATCTGAAGAAGTGAGGTTCTTACCCACGAAAGCTTATGCTCCCAATACTTCTGTTAGTCTTAAAGGTGCCACAGGACCCTCTGTTACTTTTTACAGATTCAGACTAACACGGCTACCCCTCTGATACTTGACACCTCCCTAGGTAACCCATTCCAGTGCTTCACCACCCTCCTAGTGAAATAGTGTTTCCTAATATCCAACCTAGACCTCCCCCACTGCAATTTGAGACCATTGCTCCTTGTTCTGTCATTTGTCACCACTGAGAACAGCCGAGCTCCATCCTCTCTGGAACCCCTTATAGCAGGGGAAACTCCCACTAGGGGAAACTCTCTCCAGCTAGTGGCTTTTGGCTGCTCTGCTCTGGGCTCTTTCCCTCAGGTTAGCAATTTACACATCCCACTTTGTTACACTCGAGTGCCAGTCCCCTCTCTTGTGCACACCGATCTGCTTACTTGGTGGAAACAGTGTACCTTAGTTCATCAGTTTCACCTCAGTTCTACACTCTTATGAGCAAAAGGCAATGAAAACCAAACTGAAGTTTATTTAACAGAGCTTGAGATAAAGATTCAAATAAAAAAAGTATAAGGGCTTGGAAACATAAGGTTATAATTACAAGAAAAAAATAAAACACAATATATAACCTATACATATTAACAAGTTACTTTCTTTCCTAGTAAGGTATTTCTCACCCACTGGTTCTTGCAATGCTTGTCCAAGTTGGTGAGATCCACTGTTCATGAGACAACTCCCATTTGCAGAGTTATTCCTCTGTAATGGATAAACATTTGGGCCATTTCTTCTTGTATACAGTCACAAGCTATTGTCGCTTAGCCCAGGAGGCTGCCTCTTCCCATAACTCTTCTGCGGTTCGTTTGTCTTTATAAACCTCCAGCCTGCATCTACTCCAGATGGTAAACATATGCCCTCTCCGTGGATGTTCAATGTCCTTATGTTGATTAGGTCAGCTCTTCGACTCTCCCTTCTCAGGTGATAGGTTTCACTCCCAACAGATTTGAAACATAATTTCCTACATGTCACATAGATCTAAAGTTGTTTCCTGTATAAACATTTCTCATCCATGACAATCAGCTAGTTCTTAGCTTTTAGCAGATACCACACGTGACCCCCTTTGGTGAAATATTGAGAAGATGGTCGGACATGGGTAATATACCTACCTGGGCCTGTCTGTGTTACACTGCTCCCTACGGGCCTGCTCAGGAACTTTTCTCATCATGGTGACAAATCTTCCCATGCTGGTTGTCATTGTCTTGACTCCCCATCCAACCTAAGCAATAATGTTGTTGGGACCCTTTATACGCCCATGCCATGGGACAGAGCTACTAGCTTTACCTCCCCCTACTCCAGGCCCTTGCACAACCACAAAACCCCAGGCCACTAGCACATTTCTGTGCTTTGGAGAGCCCCACTTATCCCCTCATGCCACCCTAGGTATCTTTCGCCACTCTGTATAGCCCTTTATTCTGTGCTGTCCACCGTGTCTCCTTGGCTCTCCAGATGTATATAGGGAGCACAGCTGGTGATGGGAAATAGATAGCTCATGCATCTGAGTAGTTCATAGATTTTTAAGGCCAGAAGGGACCATTGAATCAGCTAGTCTGACCTTGACCACCTGTCCACTATTCTTTGTGTAGCTCTAAACTTGTTCTGAATAAGAGGAATAACTTCTCTTTTTATGTATTTAATTTTTAACATTTCAGAAATGGCTTTAGATTAGGATATTGACACAATGTGTATGACATTTGGAGTTTGTGAGGACTGATTTCTCAACTAGAGGAATCCAAAGAAGTGTTGGGAAAACAGTAAAATTTAAAAATAGGCGCATTTTAAAATGTTTCTTCTGGAAAAGTTAATAAATACTTTACAAGAAAGATTGTGTACAAGGAAAATTCTGTTGTGAACTGAAGACTTATTTTGCAAAATTTGTAGACTAAAGGTAGGATTTCCAAAAGTGCTTAGTGCAGGCCTAATTCTTCTCCTTTTGAAGTTAATAGGGGTTTTACCATTTACTTCAGTGAGAGCAAAGTTAGATCAATGTTGAACTCTTCTGAAAACTCTACCCTGAATTTAATTGTTGAATGTGAAACGCAAGGCATTTTACTCCAGCTTTAATTTCAAATTTCTGTGCAACTTCTACTAAATTACCAATGCCTCCATAATCCATGTATTGTGTGTGTGTGTGTGTGTGTGTGTGTGTGTGTATACAAATAAATACATTTTTCCCTAATGTTTTGATAGAGCAGGGATCGGCAACCTTTGGCCCGTGGCCCGTCAGGGAAAGCTGCTGGCGGGCCGGGACGGTTTGTTTACCTGCAGCATCCACAAGTTCAGCCAATCGCGGCTCCCACTGGCCGCGGTTTGCCGTTCCAGGCCAATGGGGGCTGCAGAAAGCAGCGCAGGTCAAGGGACATGCTGACCGGATTTCCCTGACGGGCCGCATGCCAAAGGTTGCCCGATCCCTGTGATAGAGGTTCTTTCTGAGTCTGGGGGCAGCAGACTTATGTTGTGCTATGCCTGGTGAGAATGTAGGAATGGCAGATTCTTGTTTGTAAAATACAGTGCTTCATCATGACCTTGGCCAGTTGCCTATTCGCAATGTCTGATTTATTGAAAATATGTTTAAAAAGGTGAAAATTTATAATGTTATGAAGAAACATTACCATATATGTGTGCCATTTGATAAATTACCATATCTTGGCTGTTTTAATCCTTTATATTAATTAACTGCTAAAAGACATCTGTCCAAGCTAGGATAAAGTGGGAGCTTTGTGCCTGGAATTTTTTTTTTTTTAAACGTATACCAGTATTTCACCAGAACATGACACAAGAGGCTGGGAGTGGAGAAAGGAGGTCAGAAACGGGAAATTGTTTTTCACTTGCACTAAGGGAGGGCTTAACTAACTTGAACTAATTTTGTTATAACAAATGGATTTTGGAAGGGGAAAAGGTGTGCATTGTATAGCGGCCTAAATTGAATTTAAACAAGTGAGTTACAGATCCCTTGAAAGTGATTTATAATATGCTGATGTATTCATAACTAGAACAGCACTGCTGCGCAAGGCTAAAATGAACCATATGAAGTATCACTACTATCTAGCATTGTAAATATGATTTTTTTAAAAATCAAGATTTGACATAATTTGTCCCTTTTCTAATGTGTGGATTGAAAGATGCATCCCTTCAGATTAAGGGCAGAGTTCTGAACAGTACGCAGTTAGTGACATTATGAAACAGTAATTCTAGCACAGCTGTTTTCTTATGTTAAGACTGGCTGGTTCCCAGGACTTCTGAGAAATGGCAAATTTAACTTGCCAAAATGGCAACCACATGTACTAACCTATTGCCAGTTTTCTTGGGCACCTTGCCATAGTCTATACAATCCCAACAGTTTTCATAGTGATCAGAATTTCAAATGAGTCAATATTGGCAGTAACATCATTTTGAGTGAACAACTCTGATATTCTGTGGTGTCTTCATTCAAAAGATACAGGCTTTTCTAATGAGCAGCTGCTGCTGAGGCCAATCTCAGAAGTCTTTGGTAACACTGTATTTTTTTTTTAAATGCACTCCACCTGCCTGGTTTAATTGCTTTCATGTGTTTAAGTGGAAGAAGGAAAGAGGAAAATGTTTATGCATAGTTGGATGGGATTCAGTGTCAAGGTTAAGGGATAAATTACCATTTCCATTGGTAAACCTCAAATTATCCTTCTAGTATTCTTTGCGCCAGGTATTAAAAAAGAATGGTCTCCTGGCACGCATTGTCCATCCTTCTGTAACTGTGGGGAAGCACAGATGTGAACTGTTCCTATGATTTTAATTCAACTTTAGAGGCTGAAGATTTTCCTTAATATGGTTACTAAAGACCTTTGACAGAGAATTCTGCAGGAGCAGGGCTGAGAAATGTTTGGCTCTAGAATCAGGACGATGCTTTGGAAATAGAATTAAGCTTCATCAGAGCTGAGCTGTAGAAACTCCAGGCAGAGGTTGGAGCCAAGAGAGTAAAAATTGAACTTTGGTTCAAATTTAGTTTTTATTAGCAGCAGAGAAGTCCCTAATCTCAGTGTATGTTAACCAAGATTTTTAGAGATCCCACAGGAATGTCACATTTGCAGGGACAATGTCTCCATATATGTTTGTATTGTGCATTGCAGAATGGGGGTGCAATGCTGATTTGGGTCTTTGGATGCTATTTCAATATAAATATTAAATAATTTACCTGTTTTAAAAAAGATCCCTGCAATTTAGGAATGTTATTCCCTTAGTAAAGAGGCCAAAGTGTCTTATGATTTATTTCTTTCTGTATATGTATGTGTAAGTATTGTTGCTATTTTTAAAAATTAAATTTTAAACAAAAATTATATTTAAAATAAAACACAAACACTTAACTGTGTATTTAGTGCTGGTGAATGGCATTGAAGTGCCAAACTGGGGAGTCAAGGGACTGTCTTTATTAACAGAAGAGGTACAGCACATACATTGGGATAGTGCAAGCCTTCCTCACAGGTCCAGGTAGGACCAACTCAGAAATGATAGGTGTATTTCAGTCTTGGTCTTCTTTGGAGATGCTACCAAATAAAGTGGCAATTAATGGCAGCTGGCATAGTAGTTTCTGGGATATGGACACGTGCCCGCTAGGAACTGGGCCAATATTTACCCTATCTGTTTCACAAGGATCACTGAACGTTCATTAGGTGGCCATAACCAAACCAATCTGGATTTGAACCAATGACCTAAAGGTGAAAAGCTCTGATTCTCACTATCAATCCTTTGAGTCACAGCTCCTTTTAAAGAACACAAATAAAGTATTAATTTACTTGTGTGTGTTAACATTCTTTTTTGCTGCTGTCTTTCAGGGTTGTACGAAGTGGCAGACCTCTTAGAGTGTGAGTTTGGGGCCTTCCGTGGTATTTGAGCGAATATTGTTGCCTGATTCTGAATGATGTCAGAACAGGATTTGGCAGATGTGGTTCAGATTGCAGTGGAAGACTTGAACCCAGATCATCCAGGTACAGTAGGGGGTAGCACTGACAAAAGGAAGAGCAGTGAAATGTTACCTTCTAAACAGAGAATAAAAATCACTATTGGACTCCTTTTACAAATTCAAAATGGCACAAAAGTTTCATAGAGAATTTAATTCTGCCTTTAAAAATGAGTTTAACATTGCATTCCAGTAACTTTATCAACATGGCCTGAATTTTCTTACTACAACAGTTTTTATTGTTAACATTTTGCATTTAACATCTTTAAAAATAGAGGGCTATATCCTCTCCCTGTTCTTTGTACAGAAGTACTATTGTGCAAAAAATCTAGGGTTAAACATTGCCTACAGTAAGTTTTTCTTCTTGCTGAGCATCTTTCTCAGGCTTTCCTCCAAATGAGAATTGCTACCCAACAAGTTATGAACCATAGTTTTGTACTTGGTATTTACTATTTCCTCCTTTACGTGATTGAAATTCTTTGTATTGTACCAAAGTGGTAGCAGATTGAAATCACCTCCAAAAGCATTATTGTGACATTCATTGTTCTTGAGAGTTTGTTTATTAAAGGAAAATATCAGTGTAGGATGCTAGTTATTGGCCTCAATCCATATATGGCCCCATTGGAGGTAGTGGGTCTATGTGTATGAATAAACGTGGGCAGGAGTGTTTGTAGGATTGTGCCCATAATTTGGGAAGACAGTGATGTTAACAAGGCCCCATTCCTGCACTCAGAACCATGTGGGTGAACCTCTGCACTAATGAAGAACTCCAAAGAAGCTGTTTGGGTTCTGCGTGTGTGCAGTGGTCGACCCATAGAGTTCCCATAGCAAGACTGGGGACTAGCTTTGGAATGCAGTATTAGAAGATATGAGGAAGCAATGAAACACCGAAGACATTGTAAGCCTCTTTGTTACATTTTTGTTTTTGTCCAGTCTATATATTTAGGACATATTATTTGTTTGTGGGGAGCTATATTATTTATTTAACTTAGGTTTCTGCAAGATTTATTAATGCCAAATGCATCTTCATGAATAGACGTTAATATCCAAGTGCCTAGATGCTTTGATAGGTACCTTTAAACAACAAATGTAAATACAGAAAATCTAGAACAGGGGTTGGCAACGTTTGGCACGGGGCTCGCCAGGGTAAGCACCCTAGGGGGCCGGGCCAGTTTATTTACCAGCTGACGCGGCAGGTTCGGCTGATCGCGGCCCCCACTGGCCGTGGTTCGCCATCCTGGG